TACCAGAAAAATATTTTATAATTAATTTTTAGTATCATATTACCCGATGTGGAGGTAGTGACATTTTGGTAAAGATAAATTGCATGAAAAAATAACGTATTTTAACTTGTTTCCTATTTTGGGTAACGTACTTTTATAACATTTATTTTGATACTTAAGATGTAAAGTTTTGAATATTTAAGTACTCGAACAACCGGTTGAAGTATTAACCGGTTATCATGCTGATGTAACAAGTGATGTGGTATCCAACTCAGTATTATTTGCTGATGTGGTTAATAACATGAATTTTTTTAATCTAAAATTAGTCTTCAACCGGTTATTCGGATACTTAAATATTTAAAATTTTACATTTTAAATACCAAAATATAAAATATAAAGTTTTAAAAATACATTACTCAAAATAGAATATCAATTTTCCTTTAGGTCAAAAAAAAAGAGAGAGATAAAAGACCAGTTTTAGAGAATTACATGGTGTAGGGGCCGTACATTGCATCGTACAGCGCAGGATCGCCACGTGTATTTGTTATTTATGATGGACCAAATTATAAACAGAATAATAATTATTCTTAAAAAAACACAGAATATTAATGATTAAAGTTGTCGCATACCGACTTGTACGCTTTGCATTGAAATCCAACAATATTTGGTACTCCCATAAATACAAAATCAAATACACAATAATTACTGTCACGAAAATAAATTAATAAAAAAAAGAAATTAGATTTATTAATTAAATAAATAATCATATAATTTTTCATAAGAAATAATTAAAAATCATGTATTATAAAAATACAAATTTCCTAAAAAAATGTCTGAATTTAAATCCAAAAGTGGATCAGATTTTTCACTACATTCCTCTAAGGTTTAATTAGTACGTCACAACCAACTTCTATCCTGGTATCTCACCATGAAATTCATGTTCCTAAAAATAAAAATATAGTTGGATATCCAATCTGCTATGCAAGCCGACTAATGTCAGGATGACCAACTGCTTTGTTGGTAGCCTGAAGTCACTGCATTTGAACCTCTGTAGCCACAAGGGGATCTTTATTTCTCTTTGAATTTGAACATGTGACCTCCATGCATTTTCAATATTGATTTTTTTAAATGAGAAGTTTTGAAAGTTTTTTTTTTTTATTAATTGTAAGTATTTGGATCAGTTTTTATATGTCTCGACTGATCTTGTAGGATTTTAGAGAACATGTAAAAACCTCACCAGTGACTTTGAGGGTCTCGAACTAGTGATCTCTAAGAGGACTAGAGGAATCCCAGAGACATAAGTTTTATTACTGATAAATTTTTTGAACGTTGGTTTCATGAAGATTCAAAAAACAGTTCCCCGAAAATTATAACAAATATAAAACTGATTTCATCTAGAAAAATCCATACAGACGTTGAGGGGCTCGAATTGGTGAATTATGAGGATAAACGTCAAAGGCTCAAATCTTATTACGAGTATAAGTTCTGAAAGTTGCTTTCATGAATATTTAAAAAAAAGTCCCCCAAAACTGTATCAAATACAAAACTGATTTCATCAGGAATATTTCAATAGTCTTTCAGGGTGTGTTTGGTGTCCAGACAAGACAGGACATAACAAGACATGATAGAACAACTGTTCAACGTTTGGTAAGATAAAACTGGACAAAATAGAACAAGTAAAATAACCAATTTACCCCTGATGAGTTGTTTATTTTAATTAATTTATGTAACTTATTAAATTATAATAGAATAATTATTTTTTATAACAAAATATATCATTTGAAGTTTTCGTCAAAACAATTAAAATGACACCAAATAAAAAGTTTATGTAGTTTTCTATTTTTATTTTTATCTTTTTTCTACATTATTTTTTATTATTAATATATAATAATTTACATAAATTAATAAAAATATAAAAATCGTATAAAAATAATATTTTAATGACAGTAAAATGAAAGTTCAAGAAACATAAAATACAATAAATAAAATTTAAAGAATGAATAAAATATAAAAAAAACTTATTTGATGTTTTAGAAGAGAATTAAGTTTTATTTTAAAGTTATATTGGTAATATACAAGTCTGTTCCACCTTGTTCCATGGGGTTTTGTTCCACTCTGTTCCACATAAAACTCATTCCAAACATGGGACAAAGATCTCTGTCATGTTCTGTCATGTCCCTATCCAGTACACCAAACGCACCCTTAAGAAACTCGAACTATGATTTCTGAAAATGAGCCCCAACGGTCCAAATTATTACCAATAAAAGTTATAAATCTCACTTTTTTTTATTAATTGAAAAATTGGTTTTTCAAAACTATAACAAATACAAAATTAATTTCTTTTAAATATTTTATGTATAATTAGTAATTTATATTTTTAATTTAATTAAGAAAACCTCCAAATAATAGAGGTGAGTTTTATTTATATATAAAGTCAGGTGAAACAGACCTTCCTCCTATCCCCACAAATGCACTTCCTGGAAGTAGCTGGAGTATTTTTGGGGTAACTACCAATAAACCAAACCATCAAACATTAATAAATTCAGATATTGTCGAAGTACAAGACATGTCACAGATTCGATCTTAACCCCTCTGTAATTTAACCATAAATGTGGTGTTTGATTGGTTTAAGCTTGACTCCAAAGATCAAAAGTACATGGAGGTCTCAGGTTTAAATACAAGGAGGAACAAAAATCTTATTGTAACCACGGAGATTCAAATGTGGTGACTCTGGGCTATTTGCAAAGCAGATGGTCATCCTGGGATTAGTCGGCTCAGTTAGCGGGTTGGATATTCAGGTTAATAAAAAAAACATGTAATCCTCAGTGTTGAGTGAGCCAAAAAATGATTTCACATTGGTGTTTTTGAAAACGGGTTTCATTTTGAAAACGGGTTTATGGCTTGCTAAGCCTATATTTTAGGCCTTATAGTTATGATTTTATAGACGTGATTTCTTATTTGCCCGCATGTCGTACCCGTTCACTACGACTGTTGGCTTGGCTTGGTCAGCACGACGTACACGTTATCTCGGTTTTGCATGTACATCGTGTCCGTTCCCAGCATTGCGGCTTGGCTTCCTTGCACCATTTTGTCCGTGCCTCGGCCAGACAATATGTCTATTTCAAAAATTATGATTACTCAAAAAATCAGTGTTTGTATATATATAAGATTATATAAGTGTATCTGATTTTAAATATGTTGTTTTAGCTAATTTGATCATTTGATTATGATTATTAAATATCATAATAATTATTATTAATACACATTTAATTAAAAAATATTTTGTTGATGATGTGATTAAGGATTTAAAAAATGGTTTAAATAATAACTTTTTTTAATTAATTTAATACAATTATGAGTTACTTCTATCACTAGTAACGGACGCCATTAATGCGAAGGGTTTCAAATGCACCATCAATTAACGTACCAAATGCTTTGAAATTAATCAAACACCAAACCACTATGTATCGTTGGTGGGTGTTTGTAATGTAAATTATATGAATTAAATGATTATAATCAGATAATAAGTTAATAAGAAATTTTTTACTGGTATTTATAATATGTTCACAAGTTATATCAGATATTTTAAATCTAGACTGCGTTTATAAACTATAATAATATTTCTAAGAAAATATTTACAATGTATTCATATTATGAATATTTTAAAGTTAATATTACATTTTTATGAGAAAAATCTATACTATATTATAAAGCATTTGACCAAAACTCTTAAGAACAATCTTTCAAACATTATGTACTGCTATATAATGCTAATTATTTAATTTTCAAATTTACAGTTTCTCAATCGATACATTTTTTTTTAAAAAAAATTTGATACCTTCAAATTTATATTTTATTCAATAAATATGAACATTATCGTTTTTCCAGCACCACATAAAATCGTATTATAACATCGACGGAGATAGAATAAAACGAAACATTAAAAAAATCGAGTTGTATCTCGCTACATTACGCGATAATATCTAGTTTAATTTAAAATATGATGGAATTATGTTTTAAGAGTAAACTACAATTTTGGTCCCCATGGATTACATATAACTACGAATAACATCCCTAAATTTCAATAAGTTTAATAATAGTTATTGTTGTTTGCATTTATTATGAAAAGGGTCCTTTGGTCTAACTCCCTTAGTCAAAGGGTCGTTAAATGAGGAACATCTTCATTCTTTTACCGTATTCACTCATTTTTCTTTATAAAATATAATCCATGTATTTAAAAATATAAATAATATATATATATATATATATATAATTTATAAATATAATGTGTCTCCCCCCCTCCCCTTAGCTCTCTTCGTTCTGTCCTTAATGACACAAGCCTCATGCGTCCTCGTCTCGATCATGCAACAGACTTACAAGGCTACAACAGGGATGACAAATGGGAGATGAATAGTGTAAGGGGTTAGAGGTTTGGTGGTAGAAGATGAACGGTGAAACACTAGATAACAAAAGAAGCTTCCAGGATTGAGTATCAGTGGTGGTTCAAATACAAAAGAAACTTCTAACTAAGGTAAACTGCTAGAATCTTGACTACTACAGATTTCTCTTCTTTGATGTCAAGACCTGACTCTTCTTGCTCCCCTAAACGCTGCAAGTGTATTAGGAAAACTGGTACTGATTGTATTTCTCCTGTTAATGCTACGAGGCAATAATCAAATTTAAGTTTCCAGCCTTAATTAACTGTTGTTGCTTTTACAGTTAAAAAACTCATATCTTCTCTTAATCTACTCGCTTAACAATTTAATAGACGATGTTTAAGCAAACCACAATTTCCGTTACTATACTTATTGAAGTTTAGGGACTTCTTTTTAGTTTTATGTAAAGTACAAGGACCAAAATTGTAATTTACTCATATTTTAATTTCTCCATAGTAACGTTAACATTTATGATTCATATTAATTCATTAATTATTCGTTTCCTTTTATACAACCTATATATACACCCCTTATGTATCTATCTCCCTACACAAACAACATCATCATCTTCTTCATCTCTCTCTCTCTCTAAACCTGCAAAAATGGAGATGGAACAAAGGGCGCCATTGATGGCCAAGAAGCTATGGGGAATAATAAGAGCAATACTCTACATGGTGAAAAGAGGCTTATCAAAAGGCATACCATGGCTTGAACTTCACATGATGATAAAAAGATCCGGCAAGATCGCCGGAAAAGCCATCGGAAACCTCCTCCTTGACCACCAAACACTCTCCTCCGCCCTCACCTGCCGCCCTAACGATATCCATGCCACATTCATAGCTCCTCGTGAATACGAATTCAGTTGCAGTAACACCCCGCTTTTTTACCCCAAACGGAAAACCAACCGCCACCATTACCACGCCGGCAACCACCACCACCATGGTGGCTTATATCGCCGATCACATAAAGACCACGAACTAACCGTCAATAATGTGAAAAGGGTGTTCGATATTTTAAACAATTACGAAACGGCAACGGTGGCGGAGCCGGAGAAGTCGCCGTTGACGCTGCTAGGGTTTGGAGGGAGTCCGCAAGTCCGGCAGCTTCGGGTGACGGATTCTCCTTTTCCGGTGAATAACACGGAGGAGGATGGTATTCAGGTGGATAAGGCGGCGGACGAGTTCATTAAGAATTTCTATAATGAGTTGAAGCAACAAAAGAAAAGAGCCGCCGTGGAACTGCCGTCGCCGTCGCTGTCTCCGTCGCCTTATCAGAGTTGGGATCATATCCGATAAGTTGGTGGTGTTTTTTTTTCTGGTAGTTTATTGTCTCCATTCTGTCACACTTTTTATTTGTTTTTTTTTTTTATAAATAATTAAAGTTTTTTTTTTTTTTTAATTTTTGTGTTTAAATTAATTAATTTATAAGATTATGAACTCAAATCTTTCATTTTCACCGGAACTCAATCCTTACAGACCAACCTGATTTCTTCCGTTTGGGTTAAAACCATACACACCTTTAGATCACGTTACAATTAACTAAGCCGCGATCAAAGCCTTATAGATATGAAGACGCACCTCATAACTCTAAGCCATTGACGGTTTCACGCCTTGAATGATTAGTTAGTATGCATAAACAAATACGTACAGACACGAGTACCCGAAAAAAAATTACAATTGATTAATTTAAAAAAGACCCATGTGGTCACGAAGATTCAAATGGGGTGACTCTGAGCTACTTGCAAAACAGATGATAAAAAAAAGTTACAATTGATTAATTTAAAAAAGACCTTGTGATCATGAAGATTCAAATAGAATGACTCTGAGCTTCTTGCAAAACAGATGATCATCCTAAAATTAGTCGACTCACATAACAGGTTGTATCCATGTTAATAAAAAAAAAGACTCATAAAAGATTAAATATAAGTTGGTAATTTTGTATTGTGTTGGGACATTATGATGGTTTTTCCATGGTAGTTATGGTTGCCAAAGTTGTTGGGAAGCCATATTGCTTTACTTTATAAAAGTTGATCACTAGTTTAAGCCTACTTTTGTTTTTTATAAATAAAAACGTATTTCGTCTGAAATTTTTATAACTCAGTCGTTTAACTGAAAAAAACGTAAAAAAAGAACCAATTTTTTGGGTTCTTCGGGTTAGAAAATTTCGAAAATTCTACATGACATAAGTGGATCGATGATCATTGGTGTGGCCTGAGTGGATCCAATAATTTATGTAGTTGATGTCATTTACATGGTGTAATTTATGTATCACGTTCATGATCGATGCTCACTACTTCTGGTTGGTTGGTCAGATAATCCTCCACGACAACAACTGCACCAAACCATAACCCAAACGTTGCGATTCTTGTACTGTAACATCTGAGTTGTGTTGGGAAAACGAGTTTATGTCCATTTCATAAATAAAACAAAGTAGAGTCCAAACAAAAATGAGAAGACGTTTGCGGGTTTGTGTAGACAATCCTATATAAGAGCTTCGTCTTAACATATCACATGTCGGTAATGAGAACTGATATTCGAAATGAACGTTAAGATGTCAAAAATCATTGTTCTAAATAAGTGGGAAATGAAACAAATACTTAGTTTATATATGATCTCATCATCAAAATGATTAAGGGGCCGTTTACCTAAATTCTTACTCGGTAAGCGCTTACCGTTAAGAGTCAACACTATAATTTATTTTATCGAGTAAGATTGTGGTACATCAAAACGTATCTTATGCAACAATTTACCTGGTAAGCGTTTACCCGGGTAAGAGTCGTCATCCTCACTTACCGGGTAAGACTCTCCATTCTTATCATCGTTCTTACCGGGTAAGATTCTTGCGCCTTGTCATGTTCATCCAGTAAGAAAATTTGTCTAGTAAGTACTTATTGGGTAAGCGTTTAGTAAACGACCTCTAATATGAATAGAATACTCTCTTTATTATTATTTGACCAACAAACAATAACCTAAGATAACAATGTTTTTGGTCTTCGAGAAACATATAACATAGTTGTCATCAACCATCGTCATAAGTCTTCATAAAAATCGTTAGAATAATATTATTTCATATGCTACTCGTCACAAAATATGTGCATTTCCCGTTACCTTTCATAAAGTTGTTTAAGGACCTGTTTGTTAGTACCTTAACGGGACCCACAGCTTATTTAACCAACTATATATGTTTGATAGTGAGTTAATAATATAGAAAGTGGTTTATTAATAAGGTTTTAAGGGAGAGCTTTATACAGAGAGTCGAGTTTTTTCTGAACTTGTCCTCCAATTAAAAAAACATGCTCCTTCCATATGTGAAAAACTCTCTTGAACAAAAACATTCTCAATCTCTACAGACAGATCAAACTACATAAACAATTTTATCCATATATATATATACTATATTATAAAGCATTTGACAAGAACTCTTAAAAATCATTTTTTATGCATGAAGTGTTGTTTATTAATGTATATTACTTAAAATTCAAGATTTATGCATAACTTATTAAAACTTCATGTTTGAATTCGTATAACTAACTGCAGATAAACATAATTAAATACATGATAAACATCTCATTTTAAATATAAAAAATCTTAAATATAATTAGGATAATTATTGAGTTCTAACAGAATACTTAATGATTTATAAAAAATTATATTATTAAACTTAAATTAAATTACTTCGTTACGTTAAATTAAATTATAATAAAAAATTTGAATTAAAAAAATTACAGAAAACAAAAACTTTTAAATACTTAATTTGATACTAATATTGAGATTTTTTTTTAAATTTTTATGATATTTTCAAATTTATATTTTATTCAAAAATAAAAACATTATCGGTTTCTCAAAACCGCATAAAATCGTATTATATCGACATAGATAAAGAATAAAACAAAATATTGAAATCGAGATGTGTCTTTATGCATTGCACGAGTACCCTTCTAGTATGAACTAATAAAAAACCAACCACACAACCTTCCTAAATGTTTGTGGTTATGATTTAGTTGAATTTTGATCAAGGCCGGTCAAGAACAACATTTCGACAGCAAAAGGTAAAAATAGAAAAGCAAAACCTACGTTTTAATTGGATTATTTGGTTTGAGACTCTTGAATCGACTTGGTTTTCTACTGAATTGATGTCCAAACTCAAATAAACCGAATTAAAACTCGTATTTAATCGTATAATCGAACCTAATAGTCATCAAATATCATAGCCGATTATGTCAAATCTTAACGTGCACGGAAATGCTTGGGTTTTTATTTTGCACAACGATGGTTTGGCTTCGTTTGTTTGGACCAATAGCGCGATGATCATACCATCTTTGTAGCGATTATGGTATGTTTCAAGTTACCTTAAATTCATCAGATATAAATAAATGTTTTTATTACAAAATAACGAATAATTATATTAATCATAATATATAATTAATATCAAATATTCTCTGTACTCATCAAAATTGTAACATTTAATCATTAAATCTTTATCATATTATATGAGATACATATATATATATACATATATATATATATATACATATATATATATATAGAGGTTGGCTCAAATAGAAACCAACCATATGGTACAAACTATGGAAACCGATCTTGACCAATCACATTTTTTCTTCACTTTAGGTTCAAATCTAAATTATAAATTAATGATAAGGGTAATTTGGTAATTCAACCTTTTTGTAACCCCCAATAATTAATTGGGAGTTACAAATCTTAAAAGATACATATAATTGTTCATGAGATTTTTATGATTTCTTTA